GGGAGGAGGGGGAGGGGAGAGGGGGGAGAGGGAAACAGACAGAGGACTCACCTTTGGAAATCAGCTATAAATAACTAGGCTGGAAGAAACAAGTATGAACTAATTTCTTATCATAAATACAAAGTCTTAATAAAAATGTCTTCATGCAATAGATATATGCAGTTTTTAAAGGCAATTATTTTACTTTCTTTAAGTGGCAAATAAGATGGCTCAAAATATGCATATCAAGTTGGGAAATGTATTGAAAGAAAGATGAAAATACTCTAATGATAATCAGTGAAGTCCATAATTGCTGATGGAACTGCAAAGTATAGTTTAATCTACAAATATATTTTACATTTTATCTGATGCACTTTTGGTGTGGAACTTCCAAAGTTGTAGGGAATAGTCTAAATATAGCTACTGTTAACCAAGAATCAACATGGGAGGAAGTGTGCCCTTTGGGGACATGTGAAAGAATTCCTTTTTATAGGTTAAATAAGGAATTGGTGATCTGCAACCTGTATAACAATAAATTATCACATCTTTTTCTGGATCCTTACTATGATATATTGCAATAAATATTACACAAAAGATAGGCCAAAACATAAAAAATAAAAATAATTTTGGATACTATTTATAATTTAAAGACTTTAAATTCTTTTATATAATTATGACTATTCATCATATAAAAGATATTCCCACAGAAATCATGCTGTTTGGTTTTCTAATTATGTATATGTTGGAATATAAAAAGAGCTGAAAAAGGTTGACTTAACGTACGTACTTTAATGATGACATTATTTTACTTTCCTATCTGGTGACATTTTAATGAGAAATATTATTTAATAAAAGAAAAACTAGTCCTTTTATGGTACTTGATAAATACATACCTACTTTCTGCTATGTGAGTATCTCAGAAAAAAATTTGAAAATATAATTTTAATCAAATATTAGAATGGTAGTTCTTTACTTTATACTAGATTTGCATAAAAATTAATGAAACTATTTTTTATATTAAAAAGTTTTCTAACATGCCTGTAAAATTTATATAGTTTCCTATAGGTTGCTTCAGTAAGAATGAAGTGAGGAAAAATGTGAAAGATTTTTGCAAATATTTTTATCATATGTTATTACACATAAGTTTTTGAAAAGTGTTCTCATATATTTATAATAGGTATAAATAATGAAAGTATTTTTACATCAGCTATTCTAGGGAAACAGTTGAAGCTTTTCCCAGTGAAAATGATCACACTTGGGAATTACAAATCTAACAAGGCAAACACAGAATATAGCTCAGTGATGGCGAATCTTTTAGAAAGGAGTGTCCAAACTGCAACCCAAAACTTACTTATTGATCAAAAAGTGCCAACACTACAATTAAAGCTGAATACTGAGGTTTTAGCTTAGAAAAAAAATTCATACATTAACCTCTTTAAAACAAAAACAAATAACATGTATGCCACAAGTTTGCCACCCCTTTATAGCCTACTTATTTCTTTCCAATCAAGTTACACAAGAAATTGTATAATTTGCCTTTCTTCTATATTACATCATCATTGTCTAGTAGTTATCAGTAATTATTCTACAAGAGCTATGAAGAAATAGTCAAACTGTATATCACGTTTACTTTTACAGTTTACTGAAAACTTTTAGTACAATCAAAATGAAGTGAACCACCCAATATGATAGCTGTGATTTTTTGAGATATTAAGCACATGCCAACAATTAAAAGCTCATGTTTGATTTCCTGTGCTTTTGCAATTCATTTAAATCAGCAAATACAGAATAGACTAACAGTCTGATCAAATGTAAGTTTCATTCTCCTATACACAGGCAATTCAAAGACTTTAAAATATATGGACACAATTGCGTGTTATTTGATATATTTAAAGATTTAAAATTTGGTAACTTGCAATGGCAGATATAGCATGGATGAAGTGTTAAAACATATGAGCAGAAAAATTTGTGTAAATAAAAATGGACAAATAAGAAATTTTAATGCTGCATTCAGTATCTACAACACAAGTTGTAATAGAAAATATAGTTTAAGAATAATTTTTTCTTTCATTTCTTTAAATTATGCATTCAATCGATCTAGAGAAAGGAAAGGTAAAAGTATCTGTAAATCTTATATTTAATTTCCATCATTATAGGTCTCTTTGAAAGAGACTTCTTTATAACTGGACTAGAAAAAGTAATTCAGTAAATAGATTTCCATTTTATTTTAGCCCTTTTGACTAGAACCTCTAATAAAAGAAAGTATTATAGCTTCTCAGATCTGCAACAGATCTCTGAAAACACTGAAGCCACACTCAGAAGACCTAGGCCAGAGAACTTCACTGCCTTCCTTTGCCTTCCCATAATTTGAAGATTTCCTTGATCTTCTTTGAGATAAATGTAAAGAAAGAACTATGAACTCCCAATTTCTGAGTCAGAAAGAAGTCAACCTAGAGTAGCAGCAATAGGATCGAAGAGTAACAAGACTAAATTGCTGCAACCTATGTCCTCACCTAACTCGCTGAATGTTTTCCATGATTCATGGAATTTCTGTACAGTGGCGATATATATGTCAGAGAAAATCTATAACCGGATTGAGGAGAACTAAATGTCTTCTTTAAGGTAATACATCACATTGCATTCAAATTTTAACTCCTCAAAATGTTATCTAAGAAATTTATTCTGAAGTTTGGATGTACAGAGAATCAATTTGCTATTAGTGGTTTTATCACCATGGACTGGATCCTATATAGACTGGCCTGAGGCAATGCACCTCTGAGAACAAGCTTTTGGACCAGTGGAATCCAAAGTAGCAAAGAGCTGAAATGTTACCAGAGGAGAAACAACTTCATTTTTTTCCATTCAATTTTGTCTTGAATTATGCATTGACTTCTTCCCCATTATATTCTCTTCATGAATCATTTGTTTCTTTTCTTAAAATATGGAAAATGGAGTGTGGAAGCTGTGCACATCATGTGCCTGAGCTTCCTCTTCATGGTGTTGGTAAAATTTTGCTCAGTATTAGGGCAGAAACAGGGGGGAAACAGACATATTTCTATTCTGGTAAAGATTTCAGTGTGGCAGGACAGTCGGACATTAATCCAAGTGTCAGATTAAACTGAGATATACCCCATGCAGATAAAATTCAGGGGAATATGACAACATTTAATAGAGAATAGAGAAGATGGCACAATCATAACTTTTGGATACAAAGTGGTATGAAACAGCTCTAAGTTTCACAGACATTCCTACAACTTCATGCCCCGTCTTTCTCTCTGCTTCTATGTTCTCTTCTTAGGGGACTTTCCTAAGGACTTTCATCTTGTTTGTCTGATTATTAGTAATCTCTCCTTTACTTTCAGAGTTTTCTCATCTACCATATTGCAACAAGACCAAGCTATATCTACTTCTCTTTAAAAGCTGGATCAAGGATGGCAGCTGAGTTTTGCAGGCACATAAATATAAAGTGGAGGCGGCCAGTGCAGCCATTCCAGAAATTAAAAATTTTGGTAAGATTGGTTAAATTTTAATCTTTTTCTCTTTTTAACGTCTAGGGATAGCCTTTGAGAATCCTGAGTTAAAAGTGAGGTTTCATTAGAGAGGAGATTTGAACGTTAGAGAATGCTGCCCAAGACTCATCTAGGATGATGGAATTAACTCATATATCTTAGGAAGAAGGGACTCTTTTAAATGCTAGCTTTCTCAGCTAAGAAGGGGAAAACACCTTAGCATGTAGAGAGTCAAAACAATACAGGGAATAGAGAAATTCAATGGATTTTCAGTATTTAAGGCCAATTTTAACCTGCACCATTAAACATAATTTTCACTGAATATTTCTCTCACTGATTTTATGCTGGTAAAGTGACATGAAGAAAATGGGCTGTTCCTTATAGGTTTATTTATTAATCGTGGTTAATACAGCTTGATGTTTTCAAGATCAATCTGCTCTAAATGTTTCATTATTTCTTAAATTGTCCATTCATTAAATATATATTAAATATTTAACAAGTACCAACTATGGGCCAAGGTACTGAATTTATTGCTGGATTTTTATTTTTTTTTGGTACCAGGTACTGAACTTGGGTCCTTGCGCTTGCAAGGCAGGCCACCGAACCGCTAAGCTAAATTCGGCCCTGTTGCTGGATATTCAGTGGTGATTGCAACAAAGTTGGTTCTGCCTTCATAGATCTTATACTTGGAAAGACAGATGTTATGAAATAAACACAAATACATACATGACTTTAAATACAATAATTAGGTAAAGTCACAACTGCATTCCTAACCTATAAATGGGAAGGCAAATCTTGGACCATGTTAAAATCATCAGTTAATGATGACTGATAAAGAAAGGATAGGTATTGCTTTTCCTATTTAATTTCATAGAACCCTCATCTCAAGACAAGGAGATCAAATTATAGGATGGGTATATATATTCCAGTTTGGCCAAAGTTCGCCTCTTCCTATTCTTCTCTTTCTTATCAAGATTTTAATATAAGACTTCCTTTCCATAACTTAATGAATAAATGCTTTAGAAACTAAAAATGTGTGGTAGTTGCTAGAACAAAGCAAGAAAAACATGTAATTTTTTTCCTACCTAAAGTCATATATACTTGATAGCACCTATATTATACATGTATATTTGTTAGAATTATATTAGCAGGCATTTGAAGGAATAAAGATATACCACACAGCAGGAAACAGATTCAACAATACTGAAACATTTGATAACTTGAAAAGGAAAACACTCATCTTTTATGGCAAAATCCAGATTTAAAATACTTGAGTAATGTGGGAGGAGTTTATAGTTTTCAGTTCATCATATATTAAACACCTAAAATCTTGAAAAACTAAAAAGTTCTGTATAGCTTTATGCCTCATCATATTTATTCTTTGTTGTATTAATCTTTATTTATTCTTATAAAAATAGAGAAATAAAAGCAAGGAGTCACTAAACTAGAGAATTACGCCACAACAAATGATAACCAAGGTATTTTGTTGGCACAGAAAATCAATAGCATCAGATACTCTACTGATAATATAATAATCAGAGAAGTTAAATTCACCTAGAACTTCATATATGCTTTCATCTCTCCTTATAAATTTCATATATTGTAGCTTTACTTGATATACCACCTCCTTTATACAGGCAAACCCAGTGGAACTATTATTTAGTATAACTTTTATGATACTAAATTCCACCATTATGCAAAATCTATACAGAATGCAATGTAGAAGAAAAGGTATGTGATAAAATAGACTACACAAGATAAAGCATTTTAAATGTTTCACTTTGCTTTAAATATATTATGCTTGCAACTTGCTTTTCTTTTGTCACCATAGCTTTCTGATAATCTGATCACTTCTGTTCAAAATGATCTTGATCCCTTATCTCCCTAACTCTCACTCTCCTTTCTCCATTTTCTTTCTCACTTTCCCATGATTGCAGGTTTCTGCAACTTAGAATCTATTCATTCTTAAGATTTATTTGCAACAACTGCCTTTTTAAAAAAACAAGTCTCAGTCAAACTCAAACACTTTCAATTGCCCCAAATCTGTTCCAGTGCCTGTAATGCTCCCTTTGTTAACACGTTCAGAAGTGCCTCATTTACCTATTGCTCTATCAAAATTGAATCCTCTAAGAACAACACACTGGTCAAATTCCGGGAAAGGCTACAGTCAGAGCACAGCATGGTTCCTTAGCAGTAATATCTGCTTTTGCAGCTCATTTCTCCTGGATGCTCTTTTCTACTTTCTATTTTCTTGCCCACTGTTGTTTCTTTTTGGATTTGGGGGCTTCTATTTTTTATCTCTTTTCCATTGGCCATTTAATGATCAACTTTACTTGCCCTTATGCTAATTATTCCAAAATCCTTGACTCCTGCCCTGTCTTACTCCAGAATTGATACAGTGTCATATTTGAGCACCTCAAAGGGTGTCACTGGTATTTCAGTATCGCACTGATGACCTCCCCTCTTTTGTCCTGCTCCTCAGTCCCTATATGCAATGATAGAACCATCCCCTTGGCACCACTCATGACTGAAAATCTGGAATCCTCTGTGGTTCATGTTCTCCATTACTTGCTCGTTTTTCCAACTCCCATGAATTCTGCTTCTGTACTAGCTACTGCACCTGTTTCCACTTTGCCATCCTCTGTTACCCACTAGCTCCAGCTCTTTGGCTATCTCCCAGGAATCAACGGAAGAGCCTCCGAGGAGGCCTCCTGTCCTGCATTGTCTCCTTTTGCCAAATCTCTGGCACGCAACTATTGAATAAATTCTTCTGGAACGTCTACTTCAAAGTTCCGGGTTCAAGAATATTCCAGATAAAGTCTAACATTTGCTACTATCAAATCCCTCGGTGAATTGGCTCCATCCCATTTTCAACATTATTTCCCTGTACACACTCAAAAATCAGAGTAGTCAAAATGAGTTCCTTTTTAATGATGTCTTTTACTGTCATCTGTTTTGCTGATGCTCCTAATCTCCTATTAGTTCTGAAAGCCCTTGTCTCACCTCTGCATTTCCACTCACTACCTTCAAGGCGAGCTCTGATATAATTTCCCCATGACGTTTTCCCGGTTAAGGTATCATTTGGGGAACAACAAGTATATTCTAGGGCCCTAGAGCTTTGCATGTGTTAAATATCTCATTTCAAGTAAACAGTAATCCTTAGTTTCAGATAAAAAGACAAAATCAGAGGATAAGTAATTTCTACAAACTTCAGTCACCATATTAGTAAGTAAACCTGAGATTCCAGCTAATGTGTTTTGCCTGTTTAACCACTGCATTTCTCCCCTACATTATGACCTCTGCATTATCTTCAAATGTATGTGTTCCTTTCTTCTAACATTGTGTAACTTGAATCTTATTTCCTAGTTATCAGATTGTATATTGTTTGTTCATAATATAGAATTCATGGCACTTTATTTACGTAAGTGATTGTGCCTGAATAGTTGATGAATATACTATACTCCTTTAAAACTCGACTATTTCATCACTTCTAGTACCTCCCAGCTGGCTTAAGGGCCTTCAGGAATCCTTGGCTTTAAAATTTGACAGAAATGCCTTTCTTAGAAGATTATTTTCTCTGATGTCTCAACATGAAACTGTTACACTAATAAGGTTCAACTATAAAGCTCTCATATATAATGCAACTTCTGTATTTGTTTCTCTTCCATGGAATTTCTCTTCCATGGAATGTCACCTGCCTCTTCCAAAACCATACTACATTCTTCTTTTAAGGTTCAGCAACAAAAATATTTAAAATGGCTCTGATAAACAAAGTGGTATTCCGTCAAATAAAATTTTGATTAGAATAATATTATCATGTAAATACATTATTGGGTGTTTTTGTCAAGCCTGCACAGGCTCTGGAGTCTACAGAGGAATATATGTCACACTCCAAAGCTCCAAGAACACTCCTAAGCACATGTTAGATACTTTAACGTAATGGTAGTAGGTCTTCTGGACTAAGCTTCTTCCCATATAAAGTAAATTAAGCAGTTAAATTTTAATGTAAAGTAAATGAAAGAAGTTAAACAAATTGATAACAATTTTTGAAAATGACCTTTGACAAAGTCAAAAACATATTTTATTATTTCAACCCAAAATATCCAAAGAACTACATATTGAATTTCAATTTAGATTTGGCCTAAAAAACAATAATAAGATAGGCTGGGTGGTTCAAGGTGTTTCCTTAATTAATTAATATTGAGGTAAAGATTTTCTCTAGTTCTTCCTCCAGGATGGTAAAAGCATTCCATCTTACCTCTTCTGTGACCTGTTTTTTATCCATATGACCTACATTTGGCAAGGACATAGAAGTGCATTTTGCAGTTGCATAGAAAGTATGTGTGTGAAACTTTGTCATGAGAATTTAGCTGTTGATGGAGGAAAGCATTGACTTGAAGCTAAATGCTCACTAAATAAAAATAAAAAACCTTGCATCTGACATTTTAATGTTATACTTTTTATACTTGGCATTGGACTTATCCATTCCAGCAAAGGAGTGAAACTGCACTTTAAAACAAGCTCTTGGAAAAGCTTGGTTATCTTGGTTCTCTGGCTCACTCACTCCCAGCAGCCTTCCTCTTTGTGCTCCCAGTGCGTTAAACTGGCAAAGGACAATAACAAATGTAGATATGAAAGTATGGACTAGGTACAAATACTCACTGTTTTCCTAAATAGTCTAAAAACACCTTCTCAAGAGAAGAAAACATATTATGTTTTTCTTTTAATGTATTCCTTTTAATTCTAACTTCATTAAATAAATAAGCGAAAAAGAAGAAAGAAAATCCTAGCTAACTTAAATAAGGCACACTTAATTATAAAGGAGTAAAGGTCAGTACACTTTTGAAAAGAACATTTGTCTAAGGTAATAGGTCACAAATGCCATTGATAAACCCAGAGTGTCTTAGAGAAAATCACATTTTCGTTCATCAAGAAAGCGGAGCGATGGAAAGGAATTTCAGGGCACATACATTTCTGTGATGGTCTCTGGCAGGTTTGTGGGGATCTCAGTGAGACCTTTCCCACGACAGTCTACAATATTGTTGCTACAGGTACAAGCGGCGGGACAATGCAAAACGCTGCAAGAAGGAGCCATAAAGGACTGGTGACCTAAAAGAGAGACAAACAGCAGTCAGATTTGTCCTCCTAAATTTTATAATAGTGAAGCTTGCAGACTTAGCTCGATTAACAAATCACATGACAGAAATGCATTTCTCTAAATGCCCCCTCATAAATCTTCCTATATTTCTAAAATTTGTTTTAGGAAGCATGCATTTATATTTTAGGCCAATATTCAATATTGAGATGAAGCAAATACAATTTTAAAAAGCTCTCACAGAACTGATAATTTAAGTTGAAAACACTGTGAGAGGCTAAATTCCGATTCAAGACCCAGTTTTCTATTCAAAACTATTCTGAGTTCCCCCCCAAAAAGCAGCAATTTCAAGGTAATCTATGTTCATGTCTAATAAGCTGAAATAGTGCGTGGCCTTTATCAAATTTCTGTGGCTTAATTTATTTTCTCTCAAGAAAAAGAAGGAAGCATGGGAAGACTTCCATCTTGGTAGATATAAATGTTGCTCAGATTAACTTATTCTGTGACAATAAATGTGGGTGCAAATTGGATAATGCGAAGTTTGATGTCTCGATACTTTCAAAATTACTACCTTCTTTGAAGTCATTGTAATAATTTGTATGGTGTCATCCTGTAATTGTTACTTTATATGATTCTTTTGGGGGCTTTACATGATACAGAACTTTACCATAAGTAGTTAAACTGCAGGCAGGTGTTTTCTATAATCCATTATTTGGAACCAAGACCACTTTGAAAGTAGATTGTTGGTTGGAATTCTAACAACAGAAAGCCAGTGGGCTACCCCAAATGGGCAGCTGCAGAGACATGGCCTCTCTTGGAGAACAGAGCTGGCTGGGAAGGGTCCTGGGGGTGGAGGTGTACCAGGAGGAGCTTCTGAGCTGGGAGCTACCCCCATTCCTTTAGAAAAGCTCTCAAAGTACAACAGTATTATTATTATTATTATTATTATTATTATTATTATTATTATTAATTTTTTTGTACCGGGAATAGAACTAGGGACCATGCGCTTGAGAGGCAGGCAGAGGCACCACTGAACTAAATTCCGAGCCCTACAACAGTATTCTTAGGCTAAAGAGGAAATGTGAACTTGCCTTCTTCCTCATCTAGAAATCAGGAAGGAAAAAGCGAAGAGAAAAAAGTGGTTAGTAGCGAATTGTTAGTCATTTCATTGTTTAACTTTTAAAAAGCAATCAGACCATGACATTGCAAGAGAATGTTTCTTAGCTTTTATAAAGTACAGAAAAATCCATTTAAAAGTCTAAAAGACATCAATTAAACAGAATCAAGTACTAGCAATAGCTCTCTGTTCCTTTAAAAGACCTCTTGTGATGTGTTAAGAGTCCCTTTGTACATCCTCGGGGGGACTGGTTCTGGGACACCCAAGGATACTCAAACCTGAGGATTCTCAAATCCCCTTCTATAAGATGACATCCTTCCTCTGAACATCTCTAGAATACTTATAACACCTAGTACAGTGTAAGTACTATGCAAATAGTTTGCACTCTATCGCTTAGGGAATGAGAAAAAAAACTGTACATGTTCAGTACAATGCATCTTATTTCAAATATTTTAAATCTGTTCATTGAATCTATGATTATAGAACTTGTGGCTATAGACAGCTAACTACATTATATACATATTAATGCATGAATATTATATACTTTGTTTTATTACATTTTGAACAGATATTTCCTAGCAGAATTAGCCCTATAGGTATAAAATATGTATCAATAGAGATTTTCATACATAAATACATGTATATATAAACATAATGCTCACACTGCTTGTGAATACATTGTAATTACTGGATTCAATCACATAAACTTGGAAAAGCTTACAATTTTTCATTGTATTTTAATCTCCAGTACAGAGATAAGATCATATTGCTCACACAGTTGTTTTGAAGGAATTGGAATGAGGTAAGTGTATGTGAAATATTAAGATTGGTGCATAAGTGTACATAAATAACTAATGTTAAGTACTGGTATCTTTTGTAATGCATGTCATATTTTTCCTACATTTTTGCTGTTTAAGCCAATCACTTATTTGTTTTAGGCTGATTTGAGCCATCATATTTGTATATATGAAAAATACTCCGTCACTTGGCAATTATGGTAAAATTATTTAATTTTTAAGCAGGGACCTTCCAGGATTAGTTGGTCATTTTTCAGCTGTCAATATAAATGTAGATATAAATCGTTGTACTGAGGAAAAAAATGAGTAGATATCAGGATTGAAATCTAGGAATTTTCTGTGTTTCCCACAGAGCGAAAATTGAAAAATTTTAGTTACAAGCCAGTAGTAACTTCTAATTATATACAAAAGTTTTAGAATGCATTATTGTCACTGTATAAAAAGATCTGCACAGCATGGTAGCGCACAGTTGCATGGTAGTGAGCAACGCTGAATCTGATGTATTTGTCTCTCACATTCTGCTAAACAACAGCATACAACAGTGACATGACTCTTCTCTCTGCCTTACCACTGCAAACAAACTCTCGTTTTTGAACCTCTGCTACGTTGTGGCCTCTCAGGTGGGAGGGCCCCATGCACTGCGTGTACAGGCCCACCCTGGGTCTTTGTCGCAGCCAGTCCGAGAGCCAGGCCAGGTGGCAGTCACAGTACAGGTTGTTCGAATGTAGTCGGCTGAACCGGAGGAGAGACATTTAAAACAAGAAAACAGAAAGTAATGACTTCAACATTTGAAAAATTCATTAAGAGTAACATATCTTCATTTTTTTGCAGGGGGTACCGGGGATCAAATTTGGGATCTGGCGCTTGTGAGGCAGGCAGAGGAACCACTGAGCTAAATCCCTGGCACTTGATTTTTTTTTTTTTAATATAGGAGATTAATCTTATCAAGTTCCAATCTAATTATTATTTTTAAATTAAACTGGTTCACAACCACAGAATCGAGTCTCTATTTTAGCAAATACTCAGAAGCTGAAAGAGGACCACAGAAGTATTTTGCCTGTATACATCTGGGCAGGTAAAGAGAAAATCATTAGTTCAGGGTAAATTGCTCTGCAGTCCCAACACACAGAGCCAGGGGAAATGGGGTGGAGGAAGTGGGAGGTAGGGAGAAGGGCAGGTTAATAAAAGTTGTGACTCAGTATGAAATATCAGGAAGTCCTGCCATTATCAGTCTGTGTAGAAACTGCTTGCAGCATCTTTTAAGCAGGTCACATTTTGCTGACCAAGGAGGGACAATAATTCAAAATAAAATGCTGTTCTCTCACCCCTATTCTGATTTTCTTCTTCTTTTTGTTTAATCAAAGAAAAGGGGATTAGCTGCTTTGGGCTCTTGAGAACCTATCCCCAAAGAGCAGAGCCTGAAATTAAATGGCATGAGTGGCTGGGAGTGAAGGAATTAAGTGAGTCCCCTCTATGTTGGCAGGATCCATACAAGATCCTGGATTGCTTCCAAGTGGCAAATGGCACTCCTCCATTAATAAAATATCAGACAAATGTATGCACTAAATTAGGTAAATGACTTCAAACTGGCTTTTATGTTTCACAAACTGAAGAAAGGCTCATCCAAAGCTATAAATCAAAGCATCATTCCCAGAATCATCTATGACACCGTAATACCATTTTAGTCCTTTTTGGCTGATGTGTTCAATTCTAACCCAATAACAGTAATGGACAGTAAAACATGGAACTTAGTCCAGAAAGATACTTGCACTATAAAAATGTAATTTTTAAGTAGCTATGACACTATAGAGCAATGAACTGACCAAAGCAAGGGGATTTAAAGACGACTGTTTTACATTCTCCTTGAGCCTGTGGATAAAGAATAGATTGCCTTGCTTTAAAACCAGAAGGCATACAAAAGGAAAGGTAGGTGACCTTAGGCTCAATCTGCTTAAAAGTGAAAGTGCCACCCTTGGGAAGAGGCGTGGTACATTCCACATCATTTTTTCCAAAATTAGCACAAAACAATGTTTCTAATGAAGTTGCTGGAATTTGAAATAAAGAAAAAAATACAAATTTTAAAAGTTGATTATTAAGACACACTGGTACATTTATTTCTACAAGAAAATGTAAGTCACTGATGATCTGCTTGTATAAGTTTCATTTTTTTTTTTTTTTTGGTATTGGGGATCAAACTCAGGATCTTGGGCTGGCGAGGCACCACTGGGCTAAATCCCCGGCCATCACTGGTTTTATTTTTGCAAGGATTGGAGGCATGATAGACTTCTTTAAGAAAAAGAATTAAGAGATGTTCCATGCATGTACCAACTCCCCACAATGAATGTAATCGTGTACTGCAAATGTACTAGTAAAAATAGCTAAAATTAATAGGAAAATAATTTTGTAAAGTATTAACTGAACTAGATGATTAACTAAATCAGGTTAGTCTCAATCTGATAGTTCCTGCAAAACAAAACTTAATTATGCCTTTATATTTTTAAGAAATTCTTTACTTTGCTAAATCATATTCCACAGAGACTCTAATGACGGGTTACAGATTTTGATTTTATTGAGGAGAAAATGATTTCAAGATTGGTACTGTAAAATTCACGAAAAAGCTAGCAATCTAATTGATTTTTATTGCAGAGAGGAATCAAATGTAATATTTTTCAAGTTACAAGCTGTTATCAAATGAGAATTAATTTTGGAAATTCAAGCAAAATACGTTTGTCCTACTTAAAAACACTGCCCCTCCAGAATTTAGCACTACAGTTTTGCTTCCAATCATTCCTCACATGCTCTAGGTAACACTCTATTTTCTGATGAAGGTGATTTCAAAACCCAGTTCAAATAAGATTTACCTCTGAAAACACTCTAAGTACTTTTTCTTCATGAAAAAACAGATAGCTGCAGCAAACAGGTTATTAGAAAATCATGTTTTTCTCCAGAAATCTTAACATTCATCCATAACCCCTGAAAACAATTCCTAAACATAAATGCTGACACAACCTTAATTATAGAAGCACTAGAGGGTGATCCTGTGATTTTTACATTACAAAGAATGTTAGAGAACACGTTTAGCTTTATTAGGTCTGCTTAGAGTACAGTAATAAAATCATAAAGATTTCTCATTTATCATTTCTGACAGCCGATCAAGGAGTCTTCTATTTCTTAATGAAATGTGACCTCTACAATAGCTCAAAGTAAATGTTCTATTTTTTACTGCAAACTTACTTTAATGCATACCATTGAAGTTTTCAGAATTATAGTTCATTTACTAAAATATCATTTTTTGAATTATTTTTCTAAGTTGGGATTTCTATCTTTACCCAAATACTCATAGTTGTGCTCCTTTTTTTGCTTGTTTTAACTAGAAATGGTACTTAGAAGACATCCTTAGTAAATTAAATTTATCTTCATGTTATCTTTTAACTACTTACAAAGTCCTAAGTTTAGGCATATGGTTGAAACTTGCAACAGAAAGTCTTGTAATGTTGTTATTGTTGAGAGTGCTGTAGGAAAAAAAATGAGAAATATTAGATATGTACAAGCATAGAACATTGGTATTTATATATAGAAGACTTCTTGTGACTATTATGCAGACAGAACTGAATACTTAGTAGAGATGGCATAAAGAAAGCACGTTGTATAGAGCAAGTTACAATTTTTATTTGTGAATATATTTTGATTCATTTAATTTTATTCAACATTTACGACAAATGTATGATTTTGGTGAGAGCATCACTGGTAACTTACATGTAACTTTCCATGCTGTGTAAAGGTTTCTCTACTTACAACGTTGGTTAAGAATGAACATGGGACAGTCACTCAGGAAAAAAGGTACAATTCCTTATAGAGGCATTGTGCATAATTAGTATTCACGAGTTAATGAACACACATAAAGACTTTGTCATATTTGGTGTATTGGGCCATACTTTAGAAATTGATGTATTTTAACTGTTTGGCTGCATTGGGGAGAGTGTCCTTTTTTAGTGCTACATGGCATCAATCATGATTTCCAGAGGGCAGGGAGGTGGGTGGTCGGGGAGTCACCATGAGAATAGGTACACTGTTTGCTTGCTTCTCCTCGGTTTTATTTTCCTCAACAAAAGCAATTGTTAGTTCTATTATTAGTAATTATTATTTGTTGGAGGAGAGATCAGATGAAAGGAAATCTTCTTGAGAAGTGATATCTTTTAGTTTAAAGAGCAGGATACATTTTAATTATGTTTGAAAAATAGATCCCATTCTGGTAAGCACCGGAAAATGCTTATATAACACGTACCAAATGACCGCAAGCTTTGCAGGTCCTCCATCGTGGAGTTAATTTTCCTGTGTAATTTAATTCAAATCCCTAGGTTAGTTCTTATGCCATTCATATACTGCAAAACTGGATAGTGAAGAGGGGCAGTTCTAGCTGTAAATCTGTAGCTGATGTCTCCCAACTTTAGTAAGAACCTTGGAACATTTCCTGTGGCACAACTGGCAGCCATAACGGGCAGCTTGCCCTAAAGGGGCCTCACGAATGTATTTTGCTTAGACTTTCTTCGCAGATGGAAATATCTGACCTAGCTGCTCGTATTTAAAAACCAGGAGGTTGACTTCTACTTTCTCTTGGAAAGTCAGGTTGGGATTCTTCTCATAGCAACAGGAAAACAGTCCATTGGAGCTGAGTATTAGCTGTGCCAACAGAGAAGATCACTGTTTAACGAGTCTCACCATCCCCAAATACCTGTTCTCCATCTCTTTCACCCACTGCATTCTTTTGCAGTTAGACCACTTCCTTAACTTGTGTTCCTGGCCTGGCCTGGCCTCCACAGACAAGTGAATCTGCAACTCTCTGCAGTATCGAACTTTACCTAGACCACTGATCCTGTCTTCCTTGCTTCCTTTAGGAATGTGCTCTCTCTGATCATCACCCCAATAAACTGTTCATCTCTCTCCCTCATAAAATCACTTTCAGATGGTATTTCAGATTTTCTTCATACATTCCTAACTGTTCCATTGTTTTATCACAACCCAACTTCTCCAAAGGAAAAACAAATTCTTTCTTACTTTTATTAATTCTAAATTTTTGCAGAATGCTTAATTGACCCCCTCATTGTTCCAATTTTCATATGGATTTGCTCTCAAATGACCTCTTTTCTCACCTTCAGAATTTATGCTGACAATACGGTCAAGCTCTTGAAAGTATACAGCATTCTAAAATGTAACCTTGCGGGCACATTTTTTAAAAGTAGTTCATATACTAAAACCATGCATCAATTTTGAAACTGTAATTTATTATATTTCCATGCAAAGGAGTTTCCATTGAATGCTAAAGAGGCTTCTATCTATTTTAAATCTTTTCTAAAAGTATTAGTTCATACAATGCAACAGAATAAATGATCTTAACAGCATTTTATTGAGTATTGATGCTGGCCTATCATTATATTGATACTGACAGTGACTGAAAGATACGTGAAAACCACATTATTTAAAAAATTCATAATGATTAAAGTTGTGTTAGTCAGATATGATGGCATGTGTGTGTTGTGGTTGTGGCCAATTCTTATTTTAAAACACTGGAAACTGCTGTACTTATTTATCTGTAAAAATTTCTTCCATGTACAAATTTATTTATACAGTCAATTTCTAGGGTTTTCTTTGTAATGAGAATATATTCTAGTTCAAAAGATATCCTGGTGTGTAAGTATAAGATGCAACCTTTAGAATCATGGAACACTTTTCACACAAAGTTCTGATTTAGCTGTTCATATTCCCTTAGTGTCAAGAAAGTGAGCAAGCAAGCAGAGGGTGTGCTATTTACTGGTTATGAAATCAGTATATTTCGAAGTAGTTAAATTATGCCCATGTTGTGGAAAAAGAAAAAAACATGCAAAACCAGCAACGAGATGGACAAATTTCATTTCAGTCTGGTATCAAAAATTAAAATATCAATATAGAATAAGATTACTGACATTTAGAAATGGGAAGAAAGGAGCTAAAGGTGTAGGGAAGGTGGGAGGGGTAGGGGAAGAGTAAAAAGGGAAAAGAAAAAAATGTGAGAGAATGAAAAGATGAAAATAAAGTGTTTGTAGATGGGGAGGGGAGGAGGGGGTGAAGGGAGGGCAGAGGTAAGGGGAAAAAATGAGAATCAAGACCTGTCATGTAGAGGTACAAGATCCGAACAATGAATGTAACTGTACTGTATCCCTAAAACGTACCAATAAACTCAATTAAAGCTGAAAAAAATATCAATATAGATTTAGTTTCCATTGTTGTTTTGGAAATAATCTTCATATTAAAAAAAAAAGATTCTACATCCCACCAACCAGAATTTCATTGGAAGTCAGTTCACCATGAACACTTATGTGATGAGCTGCTGTCTCCTTGCCTTCATCTACCTTGACTTCTCACTGGGTTCTTTGGACTGTAACTGCTCTCTCTACCCCAGCATGAATACTAAACTACCAGGTGCTCAACAGAGACTCAGAATGATCACCTCATCTTCTCCTGTTTTGTCTCAGGAGAGTCACAGTTCACAAATTAGTCATAGAATTAAAAGAAAAACCTAAATCACTGGTAATCTGACATTTTAAATGATGTGCAAATTACTGTCCCTTCTTATTTTCACATAATAAAAAGACACATCTTAAAGAGTCATACCGCTAATAGTAAGCAAATAACTTTTGTCCTGGAACCATTCTGAGTATAAATATGTAATAGGCAAACTTCTTATGTGCTTTATGAAAGATTTTAGTGTAATCTCAGTCTTTCTGAGTGTTATCCAATCCTTTATTTTTTCATCAATTTTTAAAGATTGTTTAAAGTGTGAAAATCTAAAAAGTATCATATAGGAAATTGATATCGTCATGATTTCATAAAAGGTTAATATAAAATATGTAAATCTTTATAAAAACATTCACACTTGCTTCTAACCAGTGAAAATTTAAATTATTTGCTTCAGCAAACAGGTTCTCGTTATGGTATATATCTCTATGTGGTATATATACTGAAGTCCTCAAACAAGTTCTCACCATTTTAGGTTTCTATGTTAATGCTTTGAAATATCATTCTTTGTTTATCAGCCTTTGGTATGTTTCCTGACAATGGTTCTTGCTAAAATTATCTTTTAGCTATTTTAGGAAGATGACAAAAATGTACAGTTGGTGGTATTTTCATACATTTATTGCTTCCGAAAATAATGATTTTGGTTTATAGGAAATGTGTAAATATAAAGTTATTCTATTTTTGGTTAAATATTTTAGTTCCTAGCACAGTTCTTGGTTCTCTCTCTAATGTCTCTCTATCCATCCATCCATCCATTTTTAAAAATACATAGTATATACTCAATTATATATAAATATATGAATAAACTGACAGATTCCATATCTAGTAAGAATTTAAACTTTTAAGAAGGATAATAAAGTACTTTATTGAATTTGATTTTGCCAGAATATACAGCACATTTTTCATAAAATTATTTTCATATTTCTAGCGAAGAAAACTGTCTTAATAACAGATTTTTTTGGTTTGATTGGCTCTGTTGAATGAAGTAACCTGTCAAAATCTTTTCACACATAAAGTTTAGTGACCTTGACTACTGACCACTACCATGAAATCATATTGCATCATAATTACTTTGATTCTGAAGTAGAATTAATGAGTTTTGTACATTATAAGTGGATGCAGTACACAATGTAAAAATGATCTTATAAATAAAATGTATGAAGGGTACTCTGAATGTTTTTCTTAAAGAAGTTATACTATTATCAACAAAAATAAAGGCACTCTTGCTGTACTTAGAGACCAGAATATATTTTTATATTTACAATTTATATCAATAACGGTACACGATTTCAAAAAATTGTTAATAACAGTACACTGCACAGCTAGAAATTTTATTCACTTACTTGCAAGCAATTTAAATTCACATAGAAAATGCTACTAAAACAAGAAGTTCAAGGAAAGGATTTCTTCTTTTCAGAATTTTAGTCTATTCCTGAAACTTAATGTAAAAAGCAGTGAATTTATTTACTTTCAGGAGAATTTGATGATTATAGATGACTTCCAACAAATGAGCTAAATATCAAAAAAGCCCTTTACATTTAGCTCAGTTTTAGGTTTTTGATCAAATTGTGTCAAGCATAAAATAAAACAGATGAAAATATGTTATTCAGAGAATATATTTTTAAGTATATTTTAAAATCTAGAAATGTAAATCATTGACAGAAAAAAAAATCCAAGAATGTAGAGGTGTGAAAAAATGCTTCACTAAGTTTAGTTTGATTAAATTGTATTTTATTATAATTAATTATTTCAGAAAAGTTATTTTACTAAGGCAAATGTCAATAGGTAAAAATGATACTGTATCAACTGTTGTTATTCTCTTAAGATTTTTCCATAAAATAAAGAAAAAATAAAACAAAACCCACCCAAAAAAACTCTATAGAGATTACTTAGTTTCCTCTAATCAATTTTTTTAAAGCTATGTCTACCCAGTAAGTAAGAGGGTGCCAATTGTAATTCAAGTCTGTGTTTTATTTATAAGTCAGTAGTGATGACTTAAAAATGGATCTAATGAGCAGCTTGTTAGAGTGGAAAGATTTTAAAATAACCCTATGAAGGTTTTATGTATTTAGTCAGGCAAAAAATTACATTTTTAAATGAGAAAATATCTTTTCATTGCACAGTAAGTATAGAATATATCAACACATCAGTTACTAAGAGGCATATATTTTACCTGACTATTTAGCCATTAGGGGAATTCTCATAAATCCTATGTCTCCTAGGAGAGTATTTTATTATAAGGAGACTATTTGAGCTTTCGTGTTTAAATACGCAACTTTGCCTAAACATAAAGACAGGAAACACAGGATTTTACACACATGTATTTGGACTCCATACTCTTATTTAAGATATCGCTTTAGGGGACCATTTTGACACACGTCTTTAGCTAACAGATAAACCTCCATAGTACTATTCTCCAGACACAAAGCTCCTGTTAAATGAGTAAGAGAAACAAGCAGTACTCACAGCACTTCCAGGTCCCGGAGAGCCCTAAACGCCCCATCTTCAATACAGCTGATCTGGTTATAATCCAGTTGCCTGTTAAACAGATAGCAAGAATATATGTAAAGGGAATGAACAGTAGCAAGGGTAGGTGACAGGAAGACTCCTGAAGGGTCTGCGAAGTCCCAGACACACTAACTGAAATGCTTTTGCAGGCATGCTCATCTGCTTAAGAATTTCAAAAACCATTCCGGCCTCTCTCTATGCCGCTACTGAAATCTTTTTGTTCTGAACTGTCTGTGCAAATAGAAGCCCTGGGAAGGCTCCAGTAAATAATAACTGCACCTTATATTAAATGCCATAGGAATGCAATTTCATTACATCAAGAAAAGCTATCCATTAAGAGCTTTCAGCATCATCTTGCTGAAACAATTTCATTAAGGTAAAGGACTGTAAATCACTTAATGTCACATGTACCCCTTGGTGACCTAACAGAATCCATTTATCAGACAAGCCCAGCTGCATGTTAATTTCACTATCCCTGGCGAGAAAGAGCACGGCCACTTTTAAGTTTCTTTCTTTTAAAAGCAGTTTTGCTTCCAGAACTCCAGATCAAGAAAGAGAAATGGTATGCCATGTATCTCCCTGCTAGTCCCAACCAGGAGTACACTTTTGAAAGTTAGACGTTATGTTGTATTAAAGTCATTATTCTCATAATACAAGTTATCATTACTTTCAAACTCTCCACAATGTATATGTACCATTTTTTCAGTTAAAATTTCAAAATTATATTACTCTCCAAAAATTTCTAAGTATTAAGAAATTAATAAAACTGCTATTTTTCTCATAGGTGCTAATTTCAGCCCCAAACTCTAAGAAACATACACTACAAGTTCATTGTTAAAATACTACATGTATCTATGGTAAAAAATAAAACTTATATCGTTCTTTCTAAATAATGCATAGTTCACACACGAGTCTTCTCCAGTAGATTAAGTAGTCTGTGTTAACAATTCAAAGGTGGAGGGGAAAAAAATAGGATGTTCCAAACTTTGTGAATTTTGCCTTTTCCTGCTGTTTATTTTGGAATTAAAACTTCCATATTCATACTAAAGTATTGCTTGATTGAAATGAACAGCTAAGTATCCAAGATTTATCTGTACTATCCTCTATTTTCCAAATAGTTGTTTAAACCTAGCAGCTTGATGCTTAGAGATATTATTATTCAAATACAGAAAAAGTATCTTAATGCTCCACTTGAGATAGAAATGTTTCCCCTAACACTGAGTTGTCAACTCTATGTGCATTGCTGAGGGAAGGCAGATATACAGGTGTAAGGCTGTGATCATAATATGAACAAATCTTGTCTTTATGTCAAGTTCAGAATTCACCAAAGGGGCTGATTCACATTTGAATCTGTTCTTAAAAAACTGTTTAAACATTCCTGTAAAATAGCTGCTTCTCTTACAAGACAACTGGATGAAAGTGCTATGATTTAATCTGGTGGCTTTCAGAGGGGACCCTTCCTCAGCTTCCCTACGTTAGAAATTGTGTGCACAGGAAATTGTCTCATGAAATATACATCTCATTTTTAAGAAGGTCTCCTGGGGACACAATGATACACAAGACTACCTTGATGTCATGCAAATGGTATTCTAGGACATGCAATAGAAAACCAGGTACACCCCAGAGAAGATATAATTTTATTACTTTTATAAACTCAGGCTTTCTCCAAATAATAACTACCACTGATGCTATCATAAGAGCCTAAAGCATTCCTATGTATTAGAAAGTAATGCAAAAGTATACTTTTTTTTCAAGAAAACTTAATGCCTCATGATGTAATGAAGTTGCTGTGGTTCCAAGAAAACACATATATTCTTGAGCACTTCTGATTTTTACAGATTAGATTCACTTACCAATTAAGTTAATAGCCTTTTTATTTTAAAGGGCTAAATATATATCTACACTACTATTCTCTAACCTCTTCAACAATTTATCAAAGCCATTTAAATTAGTAAGATGGCATAGAGTGTTACCCTTGACACACTACAAAAGAGAAATTGTTTTCAGAGAAATTGGCAAAATCTTTTAATGCTATCACATTTGCCTAATGCAGTCTTCAGGTTAATCTGTAAAAGGGTGAGCTGTATGTTTGCCCATATCTTATTATCCTTAGCTGTCAATGTATAAATCAGTGTTGACACAGCTTCTTCTAAATCATGCATACAATACACAAAGGGTCCACTCTAGAGCAGTGGAGCAAATCTTGTCCTGTAGGACCTCGAGGCATATTATCTTCCTTATACAAGAAGGCAAAATGTTGCAGAAACTTTTGATCATTTCACCTCTCTTTAACATCCTGCACAGCTACATGCTTCTTACCAGAAATCTAAGCTTTAGGGTTCTAAAGCATTCAGGACACTCGGCTTGCATGGGAATAAAGTTGCCCTTAAAAGTTTTCTGAATTCTATTAGATCTCCGTTCAGTGAAATCTCCAAAGAACAAAGATATTTCATGAAAGTTACTTATAAGAACAACCAAAATCAAGCAAGTGAATAATTTTTTTCACCAGTTTGTGTATTTTGGGATATTTGAAGGTATGTTTTATGGAACCGTTGTGCCCACATGACTGCAGTTGAGAAAGTCTTTCCCCACAGCCGTCCATTTGTCTGCATATGGCTCACAATAACAGTGTCAGAGCTGTGCAAACATGTAATTTATTTCAGGGTTTCTGGATTCCTTTTCTGCACCTTGTTTCTCTCACTCTGCTCATGTCCTTCTCCACTACCTTTCATGCCCTGGGTGCTTGCACTTTCTGTAAACAGGAAAGGATCTGTTCTCAGCCATGCATTTAGCGACAGGCTGATATTTTTTCAGATGTGATTTCCATTTGGTCCATGAAATTATTCTGAATTAAGGACAAAACAAGAGCAGGTTTCTTTCTTTCTTTTTTTTCAGTTCTCAATAAAATGCTTTAACTATTTAGTCAAGCACAGGGTAAAGTTTTTCATTATCCAAATGATAAGGGCATAATAGGCAAAACTTTAGGATGTTTTTCTGTTTTAGGGTAAGGATGGTAGGGCTTTTCTTATTTTCTGTGAGGAAACAAACATCTAGTATCCTAAGCGGTTTCTTTTAGACCTAAAGCCAATCTATTCTAGCACAGACTTCTGTGTCTTCTCTTTTATTTGCTGCTTCTCTTTTATCCCTTTTACCTCTGTTCAAATGCCCAGTCTCCTCTATATTGGATCCTTCACCCTCTTAATGTAAAAACTTGTTTTGAAGTACTGCATTAGTGTTCTGAAAATGATAAGGTTAAAAATAAAATATTTTCTCTATACATTAATGTTCTATGATTCTCTTTTCAGGGATGGAAGGAAGATCTTTGGATACCCTGGAATAATCTCAGGTGCCGATTTTGTTTTTAATGATTTTGTTTTTTCCTAGGACTGGTAAACTTAGTCTTAGACAACGCAGTTTGCCAACGGAACCCACACATTAAGCAGTTTCTCTGTCTGCCTCACACACACAGAATTTCTAAAGCTGATGTGATTTTCTTAAGTACTGAAACAATTTAACCTAGTTTTAGAGTTTGATTTATTCTTGCTATAGGAGACAATTTATAATGTTTCTAAATCTTAAAAATAGGAACATTAAGTGACAAAAAGGTTAAATCTTTGCTTAATTGGAACCTAAACAGAACAGCTGAAGATACCACATTCTGTTCTGTTAAAGTTTTAAGAGATTTCCTGTGTTCATACTTTAAAATTTTAATATCATACTATGCCTGAATTATATGTATAAAACTTACTTGAAATGTATTCATTTCATTTGTCTGTTTTTCTACCCACAGAAAGTTCATATTTCACTGCAATGTCCAAGTAAAAGATCATATTATTATTTTATTTTTTTAGGAGTTAGAATACATAACATATACTGAACTGTGAAACAATACAGAACAAAAACATCCTTAATAATATCTAAACAGGCAGAATCTGTCAATGTCCTAACTAAATTATTATGGCTATTCTCTAGTTTTGTTATATTTTGGTTTGTTTTAGGTTCATGAAATAGTTTGGTTCATGTTCCTATTACTACTTTAAGATGAAAAACTACCCCAATTCAGTTGATTAAAAACACATCAAAGTGGTTAGAGTCAATACCAGGGAATAATAACATTTCACTACTGAGTCATAGGGGAGAAAAGGAAAACAAAAAGCCATTAAGGACAGTGAAGTGCTTTTATCTCTCCTTTGTGTGTATAAAATTCAATTTAATATAAATGCCCAATGTACAAATATTATGCCAATAGTTTCTTTTATTCTCTTTTGTTTGGGTGTGCATGGGGAAGGGGGACACTGGGGATTTTACTCAGGGTTTCTTTGCCACTGTGCTATATCACTTGCCATATATAGAGACAAGAGTCTCAAAAGGTACCCAGGCTGGCTTGGAACTTGCCATCCTCTTGTGTCAACTTTCAGAGTAGCTGATTACAGTCCTATTCACGACACCCCACTACCAACAGATATTTTTATTATTATTGTTATTTTTTTTTTGTACTGGGGATTGAACTCGGGTCCTTGTTCTTGCAAAGCAGGCACTGAAACCACTGAGCTAAATCCCTGGCCCCATAACAAATATTTTTAAAGAGAAGCCCTAATTTATTTACAATAGTTATATTGATAGATAAAGTCTATATAAATTATATGAGTATATATGAATATTCACAATATTGAAATTATAACACATGAGAGCACAAAAAAACACCACTCAGAAACTGACCCTTATAGTGAATAGTTTCATATAATTTCAGCAAAAATATAATTTATCTCAGCACAGAAGCATACCAGTACTAACCTGGGCACTGGTGAAGAAAACAAGCAGCATAAAGACTATTCTGAGGGATAGTCTAAAATAATTTACATTTTGGGGGAATCTAATCCCTTTACAGTCTTTCATGCAACATCCGATTTCCCTTACAAATAAGTGATATCAATTTTTATTGTAACGATCTAAAGTTGTATATTTGGGAAAGAGCAAAAGATAGTTTTAATAGCTATTACCAGACATACCTTTTAAAAGAAAATGGAAGA